CTGAGAATTACCCTCGAGTTTGGTTGGTTGAGAACAATCCTAAGTGGGTTACCGAAGAGAATAACACACACAGAAACCACTTTTGAAATGGGAGGGGGCGTCAACATTATAATGGGTGACGGAAAAATGGAATTTGCTCATGTTGTCAGTAGTGGGGTTACAGTTATTGGAACAATTGTGAACAGACACGAACATTCATGATAGTGATGCTCTCTGCTCAGTAGACAATGAAAATGTGAACTGAAATCAGTGGGTTTAAAGTTATTTTCAATAGGAAGATACTGTACTAAAAACAAAAACAAAAACAAAAAAAACAAACACATGTATCCATTAGACTAAGATCCTCAACAGAGTAAGAAACACTGCTCTGCATAAAATACCCTAAACTCAAGTTCAATTCATCAAAGATTTCTGAAGTGGTTTGTATGTGAGGTGATGGTCCAGATAAAAGGTTCCCAACACAATGACTGAAATGATCTGAGGGTGCTGAAGAAATCTAACACACACATATCCCTGAAAGGGATTTACAGACTTAGAGTTCTAGATACATAATCTTCAAGAGATTCTTATGTCATTCTAGGCCATGTTCAACTATAGTGTTCTAAGATATGTATTTAAAGAGAAAAATAATACTAAAATTGTTTTTTTTTGGGGGGGGGAGGGAAAAGTTCAACACAAACAGTCGCTAGTTTAACAAAGCATTTTACTACATACATACATATATACATACATACATAATCTTCCTCACATGTTAGCCTTGGAACCAACATGATTTTAAAGATTTAAAAATTCCCCCCAATATTTACCCACTCTCCATAGCTTTCTAAAATGACCACATAAAATAGATTCCACAATGTATGCAGACAGCTGCCTGCTGCTTGCCGTCCAGAACACTGCTTGTCCTGTTCAGTATCCCTAATCAAAATCTGCTACGGTCTTGGTGTTACATATGTGGTCCCGGTGTCTATACACAGTGGCTTTTTCTTCTTCTACTAGATGTATTGGGAGTTAAAGCCCTCAACTGGGATTAGCGGTTTTAGAGTCTGAACTCTGATGGTTGTGTACTGCTCTCCATTGAGTTTTAACCACTGTGCCGGCAGTGGCTATCAGTACAGTGAACACAACGGAAAAAGTTACCACAATGTTAGTGCCATTTAGTGTCACAGACACACTATCTCAACCATTTTCAAGAAAGGTGAGACGCTGTGACTACAAAATTTATTAGTCAAAGTTTCTGTAGAGGCCACATAGCAAGAGCTAACTACATATTCCCAGAATAACAACAGTAGGATTTTAGACTCTATCCAGATATGTAGATTTATTTTCTCTGCTTGTCCAGAAGCAGCAACAGAAAGAATTCATCATGATCTAAGTATCTAGAAGCCACTTAATATTTTGGACATCAGTCCAAAGCTTATTTCATAACAATCAATATAATCACAGTCAATTTGTCTTGCTTTTCTGCTTCTGTCCCATTTGTTTAAGACTAAGCTTTGCTCATAGGTCAAAAGGAAAGGCAGAAAACCCCAGTCTTTGCTCTACCTGGCTATAAACATGGCCGCTTTGGAGGCAATCACCAGGAGTCTCTGTATCCCCACAAGTCTGCTCTGGACAAACACATGCTATGCAGAGCATGCGTCAGATGTGTCAGAGTCAGGCTGTAATTTCAGGATCATGCCTTAGTTCTGAATTCATTTTTGTGCTTAAACTTAGCTCAGCCCTGGGCTGCTGAAGACAAGTATTGGGGGTTTATTATGTAATGGTGTCATTTAGGTTGGATGATTAGAAATTCTGACTTTGAAAATTTAATATTTAAAATATTTTTTAGATTCAGATAGTCCTGTCTAAAGCTTTGCAGCTTACACGTTTATTCTGAGGCATGAAGCAGACTCAGAAATGGTTTATGAGGAAAGCTGTGTCTATGCCGAAAGACATTTTTTTCACTATATCTATGTGGAGATGGGGGTCTCCAAGAGGCCCAGACTTTGTCTTCCATATATGTGGATGTCAGATTGCTTTGTTCTGAGATAAGGTCTTGCTTTTCAGTACTGGTGGCATGGTACTCACTTATGTAGCCCATTCTGACCTTGAACGCCTATCGATCCTCTTGCCTCACCCTCCCAACAGCTCAAATTACCAATTGCCACCATGTCCAGCACTTCTTAAAATATGCCTGGGCCCATCCTTATCCTTGCTGTTTTATAGATAAGGAGACCAAAACAAGAAAAAACAGAGTACACGCATTTTTAAAGTTTATTAAAAAATGTCGCTCCCACTGCCAAACACACATATAACTAAATGGAGGCAACTGTTAAGATCATATATATCATCTGTTGGTGGACATCAGTATTGAAAACATACTTATCTGACCCTCATCTGGGCCCCTGGAGAATTCTATTATTTGTGGTGTCATACCATTGGTTTACATGAGAAGTGCTTAAAGAAAGTGTCCATGTGAAACACACTTACTGTTTGAAAGTGATGAAATCTTCACTGACTGTCATTTCTGCCCGTACCAAGTCTAAGAACTATAAGGAGAAACAGCAGAGCCAGGAACACTCCTTCTAGGCTAATGAACTTCTTGTCTAACCAACAATGGGAAGTCTTAACCACTGATAATGTTGATTTCACCACTAGGCAGCTCAGAGCAATAGATGAGATTCTCTCTGGTAACCAAGAACGCATTTCTCCACTTTGATTCAGACTTCAGTTACCATTCCTCAGGTCAATTAAATTCCTCATGTCCTGATTTACCTCAACTTGGGCATAAACTCTCAGGGTCCAAGTCCAATGTCAGCTTTTCTGTTGACATATGGTTTTTTACAGGTATTTTTAAAAACATGTATACTGCAACATATTTTATAAATTGTTATAACCTGTTTCAAAGTGATACGACCAGGTTACAACAGGCTCCTTTCCAAGAGTACAGTATATTCCAGAACCTGAGCTATGAATATACTTAATTATTTCAGTATCTCACATTAAGAAAGTCAGGAGTGAGAGAGATGGCTGAGCAGTCAAGGGCACTTATTCTTGCATAGGATGTGTATTCCATTCCCAGTACCCACATGGTGGCTCACAACCATCCATAACTCCAGTTTTAGGGGATCCAACACCTTCTTCTGGCCTCTGAGCACACAGATATACATCCAAGCAAAACACAGAAAATAAATACATCTTTAAAAACTTATTTAAAACTTCCTATTTTCTATTTATTGGCATTTGTATGTGTTCACGTCTATGGCAGTGTTCATGTGGAGGTCAGAGGACAGCCCACAAGGGCAGGTTCTTCCTTCTACCATGTGAGTTCCTAGGATTGAAGTGAGCTCACTGGGCTTGCTGACAGGTACTTTTACCTGCTGAGCCATCTTTCTAGCCCACAACTCTCATTTTAATATACATATTACAGCAGGGAGGCCCAACTTTTGACATAAAAGTTGTCACTTCTAAATGTGCTGAGCCATATCATGGCTACCCTGAGACTGCCTGCAGCCTCCAGGGTACAGATTAGACACGCCTGGTCTAAAGCAGTCTAACCAACCTCCTGGACACTAGCTCAGTGAGTAAACATGTCAGTCACAGCACTCTGGTCACACCATCAATGACCAATCTGATATACGTGGTGGGTGAGGTGATAACTTTATTAGTTCATTTAACCATTCTGTCTCTGTTCTAAACAAACAGACAACAGCATTAAAAAAAACAAACAAACAAACAAACAAACAAAAAAAAACCAAACAAACAAAACTGTGTTTCTTGTTTGTCTGTTTGATAAGAGTCACACTATTCAGCTCTGGCTGGCCCGAAACTTGCAATGTAGATCACGTTGGCCTCAAATCTCAGAGATCTGCCTGCCTCTGCCTCAGGAGTGCTGAGATTACAAAGTGCACTGCACGATCTGCTAAAATTGTATTTTTACATTAAAAAAAAACTTAAACCACATTTTGGCATAAAATGATTTCTACAACATTATTCTAGGAGAGCACTGTTACTCATTTTGCTAATTGAGTGACCAACACATCGATAAAACTAATGAGGTTCAAATAACTTTCTCCAGGTTTCATGAGTTGAAGGACTTAGAAAAACAGTCTCTTTCTGGAAGGTAGGACAGAGTGGAATGAAATGTTCAATCTTTATTAGTCAATATTTAAAAAGATTTCAATTGGATAGAAACAGGACTCTTTCAGAAAAGAGAAGATGAAGTTTTTGACCTTTACGCTGAGTGCTGAAACCTAACTGCTGATGAAAGACTTTTATCATCCAAGAAAACAATCAAAAACATTTAATCTCCTTTACCATAAATGTCCTTACGCCAAAAACATTCAGTTCAGTGCAACCGGTAATGTGGCAAAACGTAGCTCCTGCCACTTGCTGGCCTGTGGGTGTTGAGGATTTTTTGAGGAGTACCACCTATTTCTGTTTCCCAAGTTCTAAGGCCAGTTGGCTCAGGAACCAGAAACTCATTTTACGGTCTAGCCGTAACCTGGGGATCTTTACAGATGTTCTTGTTTTATTTTTCTGAGGCAGTGTGGGAGGAGTGAAGAGGGGGCCAGCCTAATCACACTCTGACACAAAATTAAACGAATCTTCATTGCAGTTTTAGCCGTAAGATTGTATCAGCTTATGTTCAGACTTCTTAAAATCTGCCTCTTCAGGGTATTAATACAACTTACATTTAGATGTTAGAACTAAAGTGAGGTATTCTCCAGTGTTCCATTTATAAAAACTGTTTCCTCCTATAAACACCTTGTGCTGAGAAAACAGCACCCATGTTATGTATAAAATGTGTATGTGTGTGATTACAATATTTATAGGTTGCTTTTATTTTGTATGTTTTAGATGGAAAGCAGAATTTTACTCTGTTTTACTCATTTGGCTACAATTTGTTTTTGATACTTAAAGGGAAGTAAATGTTCACAGCACAGGAAATGGAGGCCGCTGTGTCCTTTTTAAAACTCAGCATGCTAGAAAAGCAAAATGAGTAGATGTGCTGGACTCACCCGAGGCTGCTGTGGCGTTTGTAGGGGTTGACGCGGCTGCTTGAATCCGAGCATGAGGAGGAATGAGGATGGTGGCCAGAGGTGGATTACTTGACAGTTCTAGAGGAACAGAAGCAAAAATTAGGGTCCACTCTCCACCCTCTACGTGAAACTCCTTTGTAAGACATGATAGTAAAGACCAGTTTGTAAGCTGCAACAGGGAGCTGTAATCAAGTTAGAGAGAAAGTAATGTCATGTGACACGAAACTAACGAACACTTAAGAACTAAATTTGTCCTGGGCAAAGGTAGCAGTGAAAAGTCTGAGAGAAAGCATATGCACACGCTTCCACAATCCCCAAGTATTCTGAGAGTAAGCGCGCGCGCGCGCGCGCGCGCGCACACACACACACACACACACACACACACACACACACACACACACACGCCAACTCCTCCCCCGCCCCGCCCGCCCGGGCATTCTGCAGCACCTGACTAGAAGTTCTGTTTGGGAGCAGAACTTCAGAGTGACAGCAAATAGAAAGGGTTACATGAACAGAGAGCAGCCAAAGGTAGTCAAATAGGAGTATTGAAAATAAAAATATTTTCACCATATTTTACATTCCTCAAATTTAAAAGATTATTGCTAAAAAGTTTGAAAATTTTTAAACCTAAATATGCTATTTTTTTGCCAAGGTTATAGAAACTATCTTTTTTTGAAAAATCAATTTCTATTATGTCTTATATTGTGTTTAAGATGAACTGAAGCTAATGATACCAACATGGTAAGCAGTGGTGGTGAGGTTGCATAGTGCCTGGCTTCAACAGGTGTGTCCTTTCAGTTTGCTGGAGAGAATCCTGTCATGCCTGATATCTGTCATGAAATTTGGGAACTTCCTTGTCATCCTCCTAAGTGTCATAACTTGAAATAATAAATATGTCCTCTGAAATACAGCATCATCTTCACAATTTAAATATTTGGCATTAACAGAAAAGTTAAGAAATAAAACCCCAAACCCAGTAAGTAGTTTGAGATTTCTTTTAATCCTCTACTAATCTCCTTCTCCAGCTGCTAGAAATCAGTGTTTTGATGAGCAGTTTTAAAATATTTGAGGGTCAAAACCTTTGCCAATAGTGATTTATTTACAGACTGGCAACTAAATATTAATTTTGTACAAAATTAAAATTCTAATAAGACCACATTTGAACTCAGGAAAGTAATAAACTAATATCAAGATTCATGAAAAATTAATGGAAGAAAAAAAGCTTAAAAGACAGGAAAAGACTCAATTGTTTGTCTGGCCAGTGAGAACATCTAGCAGCTTGTCAAGCTTTGGGAAGCTGTTCCCTAATTAGGGTGTAGGAGGGTGTGCAGCTCTCACCGAGCAGCAGGAAGGCGCTACACTGGCTCGCTCCAAGCCAAGCAGTTTAACAATATCCTAACTGGACTAGCAGAGGAACCTGGTAACAGCCATCGCTGCAAACGCTGTATGTGTAGTTATTCTCCATAAAACTACAAGAAATTTAAACTTGCCACCCCCCCCCCCAATTCTCCAAAAACAAAAAGCTAAAAAAAAAAAAAAAAAAAAAATCCAACCATCCACCTAGTAATAGCAGACCTGAAATGGTATGTTAGGTATCAGAGTAGAGAGATAAAGGCAGCTGTCTTTGATGGATCAATAGAAAACAGAACTGGGCAATCGAAGAACAAGGCAGTCAAGTCTATCAGGAAGATAGCCCTTGCAAATCAGACACCGGAAAGAGAAAAGGGGACTAAGGAATTTAGTAGGAAGTGTGCTGACAGAGCCACCGTGAAGGCGAACCTCAACACACACTGGCTTGGAGTATCTCTGGCTGCTTTCCTCACAGCCCCTTCATTTGTTTTCTGTCCTCAGATCACCTGTCTAGTTAGTGTGTGTGTGCACACTCAGCTAGCCCAAACCGAGACAGAACGCCTCTCCCCCATAGCTCGCAGCTGACTGTGCACCTATGTCTTGGGAATAATCAAAGTAACATTAAGGGTCATTTGTGTACTAATATTCACAGTACAGAAACCAGCCTCAAACTGAAGTTAGCTTTGCCGTAAGCTGTAGTAACTGTTAACAGCCACAGCAATCGGAGGCAACTTAGAAATGTCCAACACACGTCAGCTGAACTCAACACAGCCGTATTTACTTAAAGTAACTAATTCACACGCTCAATGGGCATCACTTACTACAGAGAGCTCAGGCCTTCTCTTTATTTAGTTGGGGGGGAGGGGTTAGTGCGAGGTATCACTGAAAATTTGGTTGGAGGATGAAGTCGTTCATATTGCTACCAGCAGAACCTTGCTATGCATTCACAGTTCCTCTACCTAACAGTAGCTATCTGGATATTCTCTACTATACAATCAAGTGGATGACTGTACCTTATTCTTTAACCTCTTGAATACACTGTTCTATTCTGATCAGCCATTAATTACTAACTACTCTCAAGTCTGCATTTTAAAGTTATATTTATACAAGTCATATATATATATTATATAAACTATTTAATATATATATGTAAAAGATATATGTACGTACATATATATATGGGGGGGGGTGTTTATCCAAGATATATCTCTTCCCTTTACAAAACAAGATCACCATCTGGAAACACTGCTCCAAAAGTAGAATACAGACTATCAAACAGATCGGCATCCATAATTCCATGTCGTTATGCAGAAACATTGTTCAAGAGCAACAGTGATTTACAAGTACTAGGAACAAGCATTCTTAAATTGTTAACAGTTTACTTTCAAATGTCTGACAAGGATTTTAAAACACATAACACATACACAGTCACTCACAAATGCATCTTAATATATTTAGTCTGGTGAAAAACGAAAACATATATCCCATAATATCAAAGTCCACTTGACTAGATCCAAAGGCTCACGCAGAATTTTCTCTGTCACAGAATCACCAAACAATCTGCCTCTGACGATTCACCTGTCCATACTATGTCCAGCACACACATGGAATGGTTAGTTTTAACTGTCAGCCTCATATAAATTCGAATCACGTGGGACGAGATCCTTAGTGAGAGACATTCTAGCCGAGGTAGAACTGTGGCTATAACTGTGAGAAATTTAGTTATGCAAACAGATTTGAGAGGACCTAGTCCAAAACTGTGCCCCACCCCCCTGTCCTTGTCTTGGACTGTACCAGAGCCGAACCAAACTAAGCAGCTGGTATGCATGCACACATTCTCTTTGCTGCCGACAGTGGATATGACTAGCTGCTTCAAGTTCCTGACATCCTGGCCTCCCTGCAAGGAGGTCCTACCTGGAGTTGTAAGCAAAATAAGCCCTTTCTCCCTTAAGGTTGCCTTTGTTGGAGTATTTTATCATAGTAAATGAAAAGAAAACTCGGACATACATTCTTCAAATGCTGAAAAACATATTCACACTCAGACCATGTAGAATCATGCTTATATTTGATGCACAGGTAAATAAAGCAGCTGCCAGTATCAAAAGAGAATACTCATTTTTATTTGTTTGTTTTTCAAGACAGGGTTTCTCTGTGTAACAGCCCCGGCTGTCCATGGAATTCACTCTGTAGACAAGGCTGGCCTTGAACTCACAGAGATCCCCCTGCCTCTGCATCCCGCATGCTGGGATTAAGGGCCTGAGCTGCAGCTACCACCACTAACCAGCTAGTAATAATCATTCTTTTTAAAAAATGTGAATATTGGGCTGGAGACATGGCTCACTGGTTAAGAGCACTGGCTGCTCTTCCAGAGGTCCTAAGTTCAATTCACAGCAACCACATGGTGGCTCACAACCACCTGTAATAGAATCTGATTCCCTCTTCTGCTATGAATGAAAACAGAACATTCATATACATAAAACAAATCTTAAGAAGTGTGACTATTAGACATATGTATGGTTAAAGCTTGAACTACAGGAGTCTTTGTAATCGAGTCTTTATTTTATAAGAATGCACCAAAGTTAAGCACCGTAACGCACTGTGGGATTTGTGTCTTGTGTACACATTTGTGGGCGTTTATGTGGGTTGATGCGTGAGTGCATGCACAGAAAATCATGAGTGCCAGGTCACCTTTGGGATTACAAGTCTGCACTACTGGTCTTCATTTTTTAAAATATATTTAGCCTGATAAAAAATTATTCTCGGAATATATTTACAGAGTTTACTTAATAGGTACATCTTGGCGGGGGGGGGGGGGGGGGGGGGGGGCTCTGGCGATCAAACTTGGGTCCTCATCCTAACAGCTGCATTATATTTGCAGCCCAAGTCTGGAAACTGCTAAGGGGAGTTGATTCCCACTCATAAAAATGCTTCAGCATTTCTATTCTAAAGTATAAAGCATGTTTGAAGGGCTGGAGGAAGCCCTGAGTGTATGAAGTCCTATATGAATGTGTTATTGACATCTGCTGGCCATTCAAGGACCCCAGAACCTCAGAATGGAAAACTTTCCCACTGCACCTCAGGATGAGGATCACAGGAAACGGCAATGCCTTCCTGGTCCATGTGTGGATGCTGACAGTATGTGGGGAAAGTGCCCACCAGTGCTCTCTCCCTGGATGTTTGGACCTGAAGACTGCTCTTCTATAGAGGCTGTTTTACCAAGTGAGCTAAACTTGTTTCCATAAACCCCACCTTTCTGTCCTCTGTATGTAATTACCCACCTCCCTGTTCAGGGGTATGTAATAACCTTGCTTTTCTTTGCTCACTTCTACATAATATAAGCATTCTAAGCTTCCAGGGTGCTGATGCTGCTCCAGCCAAGAGCCCAGACCACCTGATCCTAGATTCCATCCATGTGTCCATCTGTCTGTCTTTTCTTCATTCCCTCAACCCCCTCCTCAGGTCCAAGTCCCCAAGACTATGAAGGATGTAGCAAACAGGAAATAGCTTTTGTTGAATTTTGACTCATTTATCAGTGTGATAAACAAATTAGGAGAGAATATCACATCTGTTAGAAAGACCACTGAAAACAAAAGGCACGTGCTGACACGGTGCGGAGAGTACTCCTGTACCCTGCTGGTGGGGATGTAAAAAGCTCAGCTATGGAGACAGTGCACCAGTTTCTCTAAACAGAATCATCATGTGACCGAGCAGTGTCCCAATCACTCAAACAAGCCTCTGCATATAAACTGTCACAATATACCCAAAAGTCCATCACAGATGAATGCCTAAGTAAAACACAGCACACAGCCTCACAATGAAGCACTGTTCATTCACAAGAAGGAATGGACTTTTGAAACATGCTCTACGCATAAAAATTGGTTAGGTGAAAGAAATCACATACTAATAATCATACATTACAAGGTTCCATTTATACAAACTATCCCAAATGAAAAAAATCCATGGAGACAAAAAGCAAGCTGGCTTCTGCCAGCAGCTGAGAGACTAACACCTAATGGGGATACGATTTTCTTCAGAAGCAAAGAAAATGTTGACAAAGTTGACAAAGCTGCATAGCACAAAGGATACACAACTAATATTATGCCGTTTGCTTTCTAAAAATAACCCTACTTGAATCTCAGCTCAGTTTTTTAAGAAAACCTCAGGGGTTTGTTGAATTGGTAACTTTAAAAGTTTTATTTTAGTAGTAATAACAGAAGATTCTCACTAGCATGTAATCAAATGAATTACTTAAAAACAGCACACAGAACAATGGAACTTAAAGTCTAATTAAATAAAAAGTTTAAGTGTTATTTTACTTCACACAGACACATATACACAAATACAATGAAGAATATGTGTCTAGAAACGTGAAGTGACAAATGTCATAAGGATTAGGCAGTACTTATATGTACATTTGTCACATACCTGACCAGGGGTTTTCTTGGTTTATGTTGAATTATAAAAATATTTGTCTTTGGAAAAGTTGGCTTTTCCAAAATCTCAAAATTCCAAAAATCTCAATCAGTGCTGGGTTGTCACAAATGGCTTAAAAAGAGGCTAAAGCTGAGGACAGCTCTTAATAAAGACAGTGTTACAGCTGCTGGAGGCCACAAGACATTTAGAGGTCTCTTTAAAAGTGCTCCATACAGACCATAAACACATGCTTATAGTACAAAAGAAAACACAACTTGAGATTGGGCATCACAAGGCTTTTTAATTAGCCTCATAATCTTGTTCTGTTTTGTTTCTGGTTTTTGAGATAGGGTTCCTCTGTGTAGCCTTGGTTGGCCTTGAACTCACAAGATGCTCTTGCCTCTGCTTCCCCGAGTGCTGGGATTAAAGGCGTACTTACTTGATCCCGCCTCGCTTGCTATCCTCATCAATTTTATAGGTGATTTATATAAAATATTCAGGTGATATAACCCTCCCCCCAAAAAGAAAAACCAAACCAAACCAAACCAAACAACCATTCATGAAAAAACAAACAAAAAAAACCCAAGCAAAAATAGTTCTATTGATTAAAAGCACAGATATAAAAAGTAAAAAAAAAAATAAAAAAATAAAAAAAATTCAAATGATTGTTTTCTGGAGTTTGATATATAAGACAGCAAAGTTGTGAAGCTGAAGAGATGGCTCTGTGATTAAGAAAAAGAGCACTGACTGCTCTTCTAGAGGATCCAGGTTTCAAGCATCCACACAACCGCTCACAATCACTGTAACTCCAGCTCCAGGGGCTCTCACACCCTCTTCTGACCTCTACAGGCACCAGACATACATGCTATTCACAGACAAACATGCAGGCATATACCCATATGCATGTAATAAAAAATTTTTAAAAGCAAAATTCCTAAATATAGTCATACGATATATAATTGAAATATATCAAAGTTAACAAATGCATTAGAAATCTTAATCGGGACATGTTTTATGCTCAAGGACTATCCATGTTTTAGAAATTTTGAGGAGAACCACAATACAGAATGTTACAAAGTGACTATTATGAAGACTAGCATTTAAGGGCTGTACCTCCAGTTTTCTCTGTGTTTCTTCTGTTTCCAGCAATTTCTTTAGTTTACATACAGCGCTATTGGTGAAAACCAAAGCAATAAGGAATAAAGATACATTTTTCTTTGTCAAGAGAACTAAGAAAGAGGTAAGCATTCTAGCCTAGCCTTTTGTCACACTGCAGTTGCTCCTATTAGTGACACCTGAAGCTATACAGCTTTCTTCTGATCATTCCCATCATGGGGACTGACACATAGAAAAACAGCTTGTTTGGGGGCTAACTGGACTCTTGATAATCCATCAGTAATTTTATTCAGCTTGTATGTACAGTTGCTCTAGTGTCCTGCTATCATTTCCAACTTTGGGGTCTGGAGAAAGGACAGATGTTTATTCTTGTAATATGGCACACTCTTTAGACGGGGCACCCTTCGTGATGGAGAGTGAAACATTTTCTCCATTTAACACTGAGCATGTCCCCTGTGTATTTAGATTACTGTAAATTGAATGTGGAGGGATGCATGAGATAAACATGTACTATCTGAGTGAGCAGTCAACTGTCAGCGCTATGCGACTACCATCAGTGCTGGTAGGTTTTAAATCATGTTTAAGAGAGTACTCTGATGTCCTGTTGCTGTTTAAAGCTGATCCAAAACTCTGAAATGTTTGCCATCCTCATTATTCTAAGTTAAGCAGAACAGTAATGAGTTGGAGGGTCAAATATTCAAAAAAGTTTGAATTACAGAGCCTGGAAAATGGAGGTTGTAATAGTGTTGGTGGTTTTAAAAGGCATCCTCAACATTCAAAGAACCCTCTTTCTTAGTCACAGTAGGCTCCCCGACTCCTTCACATATTTCCTATTCTGACTAACTCTTACCACTCCCCCTCTTCTTTTCCTGAGAGGGAATTACAGAGTTTGTGTTTAGCTGGCAGTAGGGGTTGGGGAGGAGAGATGATTAGAGGAGGTGAGGGGAAAAACAAAAAAAGGAGAAATGACTTGGAGTCTTAGTCAGGGAGGATAGGAAGTGAACACTAAAATGGTGGGAGATGATGGCTATTTATCAGATTTATCAGAAACCACCAATGAATGAGTGAACTCGGTTTCCTTTTAGTGTTTACTCAGCAGCAGCAATGGGGTCAGGTCCAGAAGGGATGGGAATTCCTCTGTCTATTCCTCATGCAAAGTTCCTGGAGTTCTTAGGAGTTCAGTTCTCCCGGCTTTTTTGTTTGTTTTAAGTAAGATAACTGAGTTTATAGAAATACAGGTGTGGTCTGACTAAGAATGGGCCCTTGAATGCTTAGTCATCAGGAGTGGCATTATTTGAGGAGGATTAGGAGGTGTGTGGCCTTGTTGGAGGAAGTATGTCATTTTGAGGATTCAGAAGCCCAAGGCAGGCCCAGTGTCTCTCTCTTCCTGCTGACTGCAGGTCAGAGTGTAGAACCCTCAGCTACTTCTCCAGCACCAGGTTTGGCCACATGTTACCATGCTCCCTTCCACCATGTTAATGGACTCAACTTCTGAGACTATAAGCAAGCCCCAACTGAGTGTGTTCTTTTATATGAGTTCTGTGGTCATGGTGTCTCTTTACAGTAATAAAATTAAGATAACAGATAAAATACATCTCTGGGTTTTAAAAACCTGATGTAAATGCTGGCAAGCAAGAAATACTAGTAGTCTACCTTTCAGATTCAAACCTAAGGGTTGCACCATTGCTTAGTCTTATTGGTAATAATCTAACTCACTGAAATCTCTATATATTTTCATGTGCCCAATTTTGGCACATGAAAATAATAATTTGGTAAAAAAAAAAAAAAGTAAGAAACTGTGACTGTTTGCAAACTTTTATCTGCCACTACTCTATTCAAAACCACACAATGACTGTGTGTAATTATAGGCATTTCTTACTTCCATGAGTACTTAACATGACCACTTTTGTCTGCAGATTATCACCAACAGAGTGTCACTTCACATCCATTTATCCAGTGTCATATTTACTTTTATGTTGCTGCAATAACATATCATGACCACAGCAACTTGTAGAAAAAAAGTGTTTGTTTTGGGCTTGTGGTTCCAAAAGGTTAATAACCAAGAGTCCATGATAGTGGAGGGGAGGTGGCAGGCATTTGGAGCAGCAGCAGAGACCTCATATCTCAAACCACAAACAGGAAGCAGAGGGCACACTGGAAATGGAATCTCAAAGTCCACCCCCAGGGACATACTTCACCAGCAAGGCCACACCTCCCAACCCTCAAACAGCCTCCCACTGGGGACAAAATACTCTTATGGAGGACAGCCCATTCAGAGAGAGAAGAAAGGGTCTGGAGTCACCTTGAGTGGTGAAGTTGAAGAGTGCAGGTGTGTCTCGCCCATTGGGTAGTTTGACATTTGGGTCCCGTAACTCATCAAAAAACGAATGTGCACAAGCTTCCAGTGGTGTTAATCGGGCGGTAGGTGTATATTCCAGAAGACGGCTACACAGTGCAATTGCCTCTGGTGGAGTTCGGGGTCGGAAGACCTGAAAGGACAAGGAAGTAGAAAGAACAATTAAGTTCTATTATAAGAACCTAGTCAAACAAGCCTTTGAGCACTTGAGTTCCTTCCCAGCACATAAAAACAAGGCTACACAATCTAGAGACAATGAAGAGTTAACTATACGTAATAGACCATAGTGGAGTGAACTGGTTGCTAATCAAAAGCTATGTAGGAAAAGCTCAGAGAAAAATCTACCTCTTGAGCATAAAGTAGCATAATTAAACATGTCCATAAACTACTACAGACATGTAAAGGCTGAGATCTGGAGGCAGCACAACTAGAAGAATATTTTTTAAATTAAAGTTTTGACTGCTGTGGCAGTAAACAAAACGAGATTGCCTCTGGCATTCTTTTTGGCAGAGCAATTGTTGACAATGGATGGCACTGTCAGTATTTTTCAAAAAGAGAAAAAGTTGTTTAATTGTAAAAATGTTAATGGTTCGGTATTATCTTCTTGATACTAGAGCCTTGCATTATTCAAAGATTCTGGAGTACCCAGACTTCTGAAATGTCTGGCATTGGTCTCTTAAATAATTAGACAGACCATTCACAGTTGAATTTCTTTCATTGAATAGTTTAGCGTTTTAAATTGGGCAAGAAGAACTTATTTTTTTCAGTAAGAGCCATTAATTTCAGAAAGGTCAACTGAAGTCTATATTGAAGCAATACTAATAAATCTAATTTGCTTAAAATGAGAGATAGTTTTATACTCACTGTGTCTTAAAATGAATGAGCATGTATAATGACGAGCTTAGACTTTATCCTAAATTACAGCTCATTAAAGATTAAAAATAGAAGAAAACATGAACACAAGCAAATGGGACACAGAACCTTTGAAATGAAAGAAAAATAAAACATATTCCTTGACAGAAAGAATACACGGGGGAGCGATGAAGGGCTCAGGGAGACTAGGTTTCCTAGTAAGGGTGGCTCAGACCACCTGGGCTGACGGAAGGAGAACTTGTTATCTCTATAGGACTCATTAATATTCAAGAGACTCAAGAGCACGTTCTAAAAATAACTGGTGACTGGAGGGGGTGTCTTCTTTCCCTTTTAAAAAAATATTACTTATTACGGAAACAGATTTTTTCACAGAAATTGAGAAACTGCCTCAAATGGGATCCTAAGAATTTATTTTAAGGCGTGGTCAATTTATTGGCCGTTTCAGAAAACCCTTTGCAAGGTCAAACTGCCTTGTCTTTTTGCTTTTGAGTACTACAATTCTGTCTTAGCCAAAAAAAAATCTTAAAGCTGCTACATAGTTAAAAATGTTTCATTTTTCCACAATTTTGGGTTCCAACCTTCTCCCTTGTTTCCAAGTACCAATCAAATCCAGAATGCAGAAAAGAAAAACAGTAGTACTGTCATAAAAACCACCAAAGTTAGCGAGGGGTACTGACACACACCTCTTTAATCTCAGCACTTGGGAGGCAGAGGCAGGTAATTACGAGTTCAAGGCCAGCCTGGTCATCAACTTCCAGGACAACCTGAGCTACAAAGTGAGACCATGATAGAAAATAACAAGAAAAATATTAAAATTATTGGCAGTTTGTATCTTTCTGACAATACATGGATTTACTTATTAACTAATACAAAACGTCTTGGTACCAATCATGGTATTAGGTGAGTAGAATTAAGACAGCACTTGAATGTAAAAATAACCCTTGCTAAAATTCAAGCACAGGAGACACAAACAGGAAGTTATTTTAAATCTTAAAGTTCATGGCTGACTGTGCATGGTGTTGCATGCCTTTAATCCCAGCACTCTGGAGGCAGAGACAGGCAGATGTCTGTGTGAGGTCAGCCTGGACTACGAAGTAAGCATGAGGTAATAAGGCATATAGTGAGGCTCTAAGAAAACAAAAACAAACAAACAAAAGATCAAAAACACAAAACAAGCAACCTAAACCATGCTATATTAATGAAGGTTTTTCCGATAAAAGTCTTAATAGATTGGAGTTTTGGTCTTATTTCAAAGTATTTAAAAAATTTATGCCACGTATCTTTTTGGGTACTATGGCATATATATTAGCTTGTTTTATGAAGGAATTCTAACTTGAGGTACCAAAGACTTAAAAAAATAATCTATGCCAAAAGTCTTTATTAGTATAGATTTAATCTGCTTCTTAAAAACATATTCATTTACTTTAAATCTTTAAGAGATTCTTCATGAGATAAGCTTTAGTTCAGTGCTCTGTGGATAAAGGTTAAGTATAAAATTATGTGAATCAAAACCTGCTCTGACCATAATATAGGGTGTGGTAGAAAGCAACTTCTAAAATAATAGCCCCGATTAGACACTGCTAGCTCTTATAAAGAAAAGGAAACAAATATATACTCAAATATGGTTTTTCCAAGTTTCTGCTTCTACATCATTCCTTAACCACTGAATTAATATACAGAACTTTTGGTTGCATGAGAATAATTAAAGTTCCCCCAATTCATAAATGTCCATCTTGACACCAGTGGATATTGACAAGCTAACTATAGACAGGGTTTCTCTGTGTAGCCTTGGCTGTCCTAGACTCCCTTTGTAGACCAGGCTGGCCTCAAACTCACAGAGATCCGCCTGCCTCTGCCTCCCTGAGTGCTGCACCACTGCACCAGCTGACAAGTTAACTCTAGAAAATGAAAACCTATACCAGACAGTACAAAGCCAGAAACCAAGTCCCGCAGTTTGCACTAGCACATTTCAAGGATGAACAGTTGGGCAGCCTTTCCAAGAAACATTTTCCCTAGTGTTATAAAACTGACCTAAAGTTAAAAAAAAAAAAAAAAAAAAAAAAAAAAAAAAAAAAAGTACATACCCGTACTCCTGGGGTGAAATGTCCTGTTCCTGACGAATCCTAAAGGTGATAATGCAGTGAAATAATCCAAACAGGGGAAGTCAATGCAAAAGAGAATAGTCCAGCAAGGAAAAATATAGCCAATGTTATAAGAAATCCATGGTGTAGGGACATAGAAAATGTTTATACAGTTATAAACTTTAAGCATTTGTTTCCACAGTAGTAAGTCCAAATTTTAAAAATTATTTTACCACAGTGTATGCAAAAATATTTTTTGATTTGTGCAATGGTGAGGCACAGTAAAGAAACATTTATTTTTTAGTTTATTATGTTCCAATGCCAGTGTGTTTATTAAAAAAATACAAAACCAAAATAAGTTAAAATCAAAAGGAAATCTAGAAGTAAAGTTCCCAAAGTAAAGTGGTCTTCCATGACCTGGATTAATTATCCACAGACATGGCTGGGAGGGGCATATTGGCCTGCTTTTAAAAATGTACATTCCCAATATGCTAAGATCTCACAATTATTTTGTCTCAATTATACAGTATAAACATTTTTTTTTGCTAAAATATTGGTCATGAGAGAGAAGTATTAAGCATATTTAATTTATAAATTTCAAGCCAGATGTTTAATTTGTGTGAGCTAAGAAGAAACCAGGCCACCGCGGATTATTCTCCTTTCTTGGATTGACTTCCCTGCTAGGAGACGTTTATTTACTGACAGTCTCATTATGTTAGGACTCTTCAGGAAACTGACATATCACCTCAGGAGTGCGGGTACAAAAACTCACTTTGTTCTACTGTGGGCTTTGCCCCCTCATACCCTTGCACCCATGACTTAGGAAAAATGAATAAATATAGAGCATTCATTCCTTTTTGCAAAAACTCACTGAAAAAAAATCCTTTACTTTGAGCAGTACAAATTCAACACAGCTTCAACTGCAAATATGCCCAATTCACCCACCAAAAGCTAAACAGAAATTTATACAATAAACAAAACAACTAAGGGACAGTCACAGTTACAGGTGACATGCGGAATAATGCACACCAACACCTAGGCAAAACGGAGCCAAATATGCAAAGGAGGTAGCAGGGTCTATTATGTCTAGGTATTGAGAACACACACAAAAAAAAAATGGCAGAACTCACCAGTAGCTGTGAACTCCCTTGACTAAGCTAAGAGAATGTAACATTCTTTCAGGATAGTTTTCAGTGGGGGAATTAAATATTTTGCAAAAAATAAATAATCCGCGGATTACTTTTAGTCTGCAGACTAATATTTAGTGCATGGGATTAAAATCCAGCCCATCACAATAAAAAAAAAAAATTAAACACAATCAGGTGGACATAAACAGAAAATCATGCCAAAAGAACTAACAGCATAAAGTAAGATTCAACTGGGCCAACTAACAATTAGTATGCAGACTAAATATGGACAGCCAAGTATGCAGCAAGGCCACAGACACCCCTTTAAAAGCTAAAATGAAAAATAATAAAACAAAACAAAATGAAACAAAGGAAAAAAAGGAATAAAAGAGAAATGAAATAAAAAAAAGAAAAATAATCAAATGAACTAAAACACTGACATGAACTTTTGAGTTCTTCAAATACTACCTCACCTATGCAGCAACATATTTTCTTAAATTCAACAAATAGACACTTATCACATTTACTAGTCCATGGGGGGATGGCTGTCATAAAATTAATTTTCCCCCAAAAATCTCTGTGATATTGAACAAATGCAAACAAATCCTTAAATGAAGAATTATTCAAAATCAATTTGCATTTGGGTAACTCAGGGAACAGAGACAAGTTTCTAAGACTTTGGCTATGAAACCCAACCTGGAGCTAAATGCTATGCCTGAGCCTGAGGCCCTTCAGAATGGCTATTTAAGAACAGTCACATACATTTCAAGACCTATGGTTAAAGCAGTTCTAGAGTCAACTCTCATCAATGTGGTTGTATTGAGCACCAAACCAAAGCAACATGAAAATGTCCACTTTACGAATATAGACAGTGAAAATTAATCTAGTAGAACAGAGAACAAATTCGGTGTCTGCTCAAACAGCTACTAACCCCCTACTAGTTTCCATTATGAGCTTACGAAACTGACACAATTTTTTGGTCATTGGCAAAATATAATCCCACAGTTCTAAAGCTGGTAAACCATGAATACTAAAGAGCAACTTCAATAATCGCTCTCAAGTAACCTAAAGTTATCTGTAATAATAAACCTAAATGTGAGATTACAGTGAGACAATATTATGGTTCTGTTGAATAGTTACTTATGTTAATTAACAACAACAACAACAACAAAGAAACCAAGTAAGTGGCTTTCTAAGTAGATAACTTAATAAGTAATTCACTATTTAAAATAATATCATTTACTGGTATTTTTGCATGATCTTATTCATTGATCTAGTGATACACTAAAATATATATATAGCGTAAACCAATATACTATTGTGGTGGTCTGAATAAAAGTGGCCCCCATAGGCCTAAGGGAGTGCCACATGCTGAGGTGTAGAAGATGTGGCCTTGTTGAGCTAGGTGTGGCTTTGCTGGAGGACGTGTGTCATGTGGGGGCAGGCTTTGAGGTCCCAGATGCTCAAGCAAGGTCTAGCAGCTCAGTGCTTTCTTGCTGCCTGTGGGTGCAGATGTAGACCTCTCGGCTGCCTCTCCAGCACCATGTCAGCCTGCACACAGCCATGCTTCCACCTCGATGATGGTGAACTGTAAGCCAGCCCAATTAGATGTGTTCCTGTGTAAGAGTCGTTGTGGTCATGGTGTCTCTTCACAGCAATAAAACCCTAACTAAGACAACTGATTCCCACTGAAAACCAACGTTCAGAGAGTTCACAAGCCAGAAAAAATTGCTATGTCTGAAGCCACTGTCTTACAGAGTAAATCACAAACTGAATGTAGCTCAGGCTTAATGAAGACACGAATTTTTCTAACTTTTGATGGTTCGAAAAGTCAGATAAAGGCTGAAAACAAGAAACACAAGAAATCCTTTTCTTAGGCACAACAAAGCATGCCCTGACATTTAATGAATTTCAACTGCCCTAAGTAAAATGTTAACTTTTCCTGAATTGTTTGACATGTAAAGAAATATTTACAGATAGTAACATTTACCTACACAGTATAATTTCTCCTCTTACATCCTCATTGATGAAACATTATTACAGACCTACACATGAGCATGCATTATCAAATGACCACTTACCCAGATTAACTTTCCATGCTTTTGAAAAACAGCTAACATAATCAAGCTGGCTTTCCTAAGAGTACATGAATATTCGTTTTCATCAACCTCTCCCATTCTAAGATGTCTGCCTAGCCTTTTCGTCTATACCTCAGCAAATCATGTCTTTGCTTGTCTCTTTCTTTTACCTTTTCAAATTCTTTTGTATGTTTATGCGTGGAGGTCAGGAGACAACACACTTGACTCAGTTCTTTCTTTCTACCATGTGGGTTCCAGAACAAATTCAGGCTGCCAGGCTGGAGTCTTCACCAGCTGAGCCACCTCCTGGGTGCCACTCAAGCAAATCTTAATTCTGCTTCAACAGCCCTTGTCCTGTGTCATCTGTAGGGAGATGTCTTTTACTGCCTTCACCGAAGGTCTGTCTTGTGACTCCAATGGATGTAAACAGCTCTGAGCATTTACAACACACAATTTATATTACTTAATACTTGTTTTAACTAGGTTCTTCAAAGGCAAGGACTGCATATTTTATTTTGTATCCTTTAGGGGGCCCAGCCTAACACTGATGATAAAGAACACATTGTATTTAAAAGAATAATGATAAATTAAAAAAAAAAAAGCCTTCTCTAATCTATCCCCAATCTCATCCTTTGTTTCCTTTAAACAATTAATCACTCTAGGTGTGTGTGTGTGTCGAGTTGGGTATCAAGTCTGGGGCTTTGCATATGCTAGGAATGTGCTGTATCACTGAGCCATGCTCCTAGTATTAGGAAGTACATTTTCAACCTAGAAGACGGAAAATAAGAAAGTATACTCACTGAGAAGACCAAGTCTGAAAAAAGGACAAGAGATCATGGTGCTGATACTAAAGCAGATGCAAAAGAAACTTCTGCAAAGATGGTGTACATGCTCACAAGGTAAGTGCTAAGTGGTTAGTACAGTATTCAGGGCAGACAGTGCTGAAAAACAAAATATCCACTTCCCACAAGCAATGAAATAGATCAGAGGCAATCTTAGCAACCAGCTAATATCCCAATATGGTTTTATGTTTTTTGGACTACATGGGAATATAAGGAATAAGACAGCCTCCCAAACACACACAAGTAGGTAGAATGGGTCTGCTGTCATAGCAAGGTTTTGTTTTGTTTTTTTCTTTATGGGCCTCCCTGAAGGTTTTTGAGTGATGTACTAAGAGTTGAAATGGACAAATCTGCCAAGTTCTGAAAAATCAGATTAAATGGTCACGGGAAAAATGTAAGGTTATTAAAAGTCTTAAAAAGAAACAACACAAGAGGGGTATTTGGTTTGGTTTTAAGCAAAGAGTGTAACTTAACTCAGTGTTAAATGATTCCTCTAATAGCTAAAGGGGCCTCAAACTTCACATTTGTTTACTCTGTTAGCAAGATGGAACAACAGTGTTCACTTACACTGACGCATGGTCTGACAAGTCAGATATGAGATATCTGCTCTCGCTGGATATTATTTTCTGAGAAACTTACCTAATAACCTATGCTCCCACATAACCTATGTATACACTTAGCTGCTGAGTATTACCATGTCAAAAACTTGGCAACAAACATTTTTACAAGTTTTTATTTCTTTACATTTGTTTGTTTGTTGTGTACACATGCCCACAGAGACCAAACTGCATATGGCATTGGTTCTCTCTCCTCCTACATGGTGAGTTCCTGGGATCAAACTCAGCCCATCCCATTTTGGTACCAAGTGCTTTAACCAGCTAAGCCCTCTTTCTGACTCTCAACAAGCATTCTGAAGTAATTTATAGCCACGTCATCATTATGAAACAGAAATTAGAAATTGCTGTAATGTATACAATGAGTAATAAGGCAGTTACATGATGAATAATCATAGACTACATGGACGATGAGAAAATTTCATGGGAAAAGGAAGACCTCTGAGATAGAGTAATACTTGTTTAGCAAAGAAGAAAAGGAAGAGCACTGTATGTGGGATGTGGAGAGGGAAAGACACTAACAAGAAGAAATAAATGTGGCTTCTCCTGCATCAATTAGGGAAGCTTGAATACATTAGAAAATTGAGCATGGCTGTATGTCCCTTTAAGGTAAGGTGTAAGCTAGGCAACAGCACCATATACAGCTAACTTATTAAGTAGTCTAACACATGATAAAAGATGCGGGCCCTGGGGATTCTGTTCTACTTCTTTCCAAAAACTAACGGATGGCTTCCACCACTTTGTAACATTATACAAATGCAGGCATTACTTATCTGACCTCAAGATTACTTGCTACCAGGGACAAAAGAGAGTATCTGAGAGTAACCAAAACAAAAGATATCAGCTACTCAATAATGGGAGTGGGAGACACCCACGACAACTACAGAATGAGCAAAGAAGGTATCCCTAGTCTACCTTAATTACACACCGACCTTAAATCCTACGTCTAACTGTATGTATTTAAGAGATGGAGGAAGGAGAATAACCTGGGAAGGAGAGAGTTCTAGTAACTAGATCCCCTGGGGAACCTTGGGGACAGCTAAGTCTGTTTATTGAAAGGGCAGGTAGAAAAAGATCATGAACAGTGCTACCTGGAGGGTCTGCACCTGACGGGGCTGCCCCCAGAAGAATGGACTAACAGTTAACAACTGTGCTGAAGACTGCAAGCCGGGGCATGTGAACACCCTGCCATGCATTCCCTAGCCAACCTTCCTAAAGGCTCTGAGGGATCTGAGAAGAGGCTAACGGAGGTCATGACAAGGATGGACTGGACTTTCTGAAACTGAAGGACTGAAATAAGTAAGGAGGTAGGAGGTTGTTTTATAGGTCTATATGACCACAATGGCCTAAACCAGGGGCAGGAAATGAGGCAAAGAGACAAGGTGGAAGCACCCTGAAAGTAGAATGTTCTCCATTCATCCATGACTGAGATAAGATAATCCTTTGTAATCATTGCAGCTGTATTTTGAAAAGAACCTGAAGAAAAGACAAGGCAGACAACCACTCTCTTGGAAAACACAGACATTAAAGCAGCAACAGTATTTAAGCTCCACGTCTTTTCTAGTGACCCACAGTCTTCCATGCCTCCATGGACTAAAGGCAAGATGTAAGTTTTTTCCTCTTTTTTCCAACCAAACCTCTGTATTTAATTTTTAGTCTACTATTGTATCACTCCCTTTAACTTTCAATCTGGTATTTCTTCTTTGAAATATACAGCACACACCAACACATAAGCCTCATTTCCTTTCCCATTTAAACCATTAAGTACTTTTTCAATAAGTTAGGTTGCACTAGCTAGTCTATAACTGTTTTTGTTTGTTTCTGCAGACAGGGTTTCTCTGTATAGCCATGGCTGTTCTGGACTCACGTTGTAGACCAGGCTGGCCTCAAACTCACAGTGATCTACCTACCTCTACCTCCCAGAGTGCTGGGATTACAGGTGTGTGCTTACCACACCCAGCTTTATTCTATATTTTTTAAGATACATTTAATTTTATGTGTATGTGAGGTTTCTCTGCATGTATGTATGTGTATCACAAATGTGTCTGGTGTCTGTAGAGGTCAAGAGAGGTTCCCTGGAAGTTCTGGGAGGGAACTGAAACTCCACTCCACTGTAAGAGCAAAAAATGTCTTAAGGGCTGAACCACCTGCTCCAGCCCCCAACTAGCTATTATGTAATGGTCAAGGGCAACTTGACTGGATTCTTAAATCACACAAACCATGTAATGTAGCATACTGACAACACTGTTTCCCCTCTCTCCTGTACACCTATATCCTTTGTTTGTAAGGAAGACACTTTTCTCCTTAATCTCTCTACATGTTTGAGAATAAAAATTACCGTGCAGAAGAGCACATTTAAATAAAATGGTTTCTTTTTAGAAAGAGGATGGAGACTTAAATGGGAGTTCATGACTTGAATTTCAGTGTATTTTTAAGTCCATGTGAGGGAATTTATGGTAACTACTGGGGAATTACACTGTGGCCAAGAAGCCAGGGCTTACACTCTCGTGGTTTTAGGAAAGAAGACCAAAGTGGATTCTAAAGGAAGACAGCAGAAAACAAAGCATTCTTATTTCTCTGTCTTTCCAGAGCCAAAGAACAAGGTGTTTTTAGAGAACATTATGTACAATTTTGAATGCTGCTACTGGTAATCTAGTATAGGCTACATTTCTCAAGCTGCTGTAAACTACCACACTGGGAGAATACAGAAGGAGGGCTTCCTCTAGGAATCCCAAGTTCTACATTTTATTTTTGGAAAAAAAAATTATTTTAATTCAATGCAAGCATACTTTGATCATATACGCTGTTGGAGACATGGAATGTCTGTGTACAAAATTGTGTGTCCAGAAATTTATTTATTATAAAATACATCTGGCATGAAGGGAAAGCCGAATTTTCAAAAGACAATATATAAATAAAGGGTTCATGGTAGCTTTAATATAAAAGGAAGAGAATTGAACAATCATTCTACACATGGCTTACAATAAAAGATCTAAGTAAATGACCTTCAGAGTTCATTAACGTTTGGAAAGTATTCAGGATGTAAGAGAAACACGAATCCAAGACGGCAGAGAGAAGCTTAACCTAACTCACCATAGTTCTTTCTTTTGGCTACATTTTATAATTAACCGTATTGTATTCTGGGTAATATTTCCATTGCAGAGAACAAAACTAGAGTGGAGATAAAATATATGACACACATCAATGCTGGTGGCAGTACTGATTGTTAAACACGATTCTGTAACCTCAACTGGAGCATTGTATTTGTCAGCTCAATTGTGTGTCAGCATGAAAAATAATGTGGTGAATAGTTAAGACATACTAAGACTGATGTCTTAGACTTAGAAGAACTTCTCGCCTTCTTCCTTTATAAAAACGATCACTTAAAACATGGAAATACAGCCAGGCAGAACAAAAACTCCCACAAAATGATATTCTCCCTATAGAGCAATCTACTTTTAGAATATGTCTCTGTATTTAATACCCAGAAATCTCTTTATTTTCTCCTTAGTTGTAATTACAGTATATTATAAATCACTCACAATAGACACTGACCTGTAATAATTCTGGTGGATTCGATCCACTTAAGCCTCTGAATCCAAACAGGTCACTTAGGATCCTCTGGGCTTAGAGCCACATCAAAGATCCCAAGTATTATCTTAGTTAGCTCTAAAACAAGCCTTAAATACAAGGATCCAAGACTACTTTACCAAAGACCAGTGTTCATCATGAATTTTAAGATGAAGAGGACTTGGCCTCTTAGTAGAATGACAGCCTCAACCTACATTTCTGGCACTAAAATATTAGTATGTCTTTGTTTAAATAGGGAAGAAATAATAAATGTTAAGTATTTTTTCTGCAGAGAGGTTATGAGAATGTTAAAGGAAGTATCTGGAATCATGTAATTAGAAGGATAATAGGACAGGGAGAGAAAGAGGGTCAGTGTGGTGGTTTGAATAGGAACGGGCCCAAAGACTCATGTATATGAATGCTTAGCCACAGGAAGTGGCACTAATAGGAGGTGTGGCCTTGGTGGAGGAAGTGTATAGTTGTAGAGACCAGCTTTGAGGCCTCAAAATGCTCAAGCCCAGGCACAGTGGCTCACAGTTCTCTTCCTGCTGCCTGAAGATCCAGATGTAGAACTCTCAGCTACCTCTCCAGCACCATGCCTGACTGCATGTTGCCATGCTTTTCACCATGATGACAATGGACTCAACCTCTACACTGTAAGCCAGCCCCAGTTAAATGTTTTTCTTTATAAGAACTGCTGTGGTCATTGATGCCTCTTCACAGCAATAAAGCTCTAAGACAGGCAGGCATACTGATTACAGGGAGGATGAACTATTTCACCTATAACCTTAAATTACTTTACCTCTTAAACATTTTACAATCAACTAAATGAGCTTACCAATGTATGAAGCAAGTTATGTGAACATTTAAAAAGTCTTGTTTGAAACACAAATTTAAAAGTTGACTGTTTCTAACCCAGTATCTCCACCCACCGACCTGAATGACTATGACTGAAAAGATCCAGCATTAGACACACATTCGTGTGCATGTAAGAACAGTGTTAGTTTTGTAACAGCTGCCCGCACAGTTTGGATTACTGGATTCCTAGCTTTGGCTAGAGTTTCTGAATCTATAAAATGAGGCAGCTATAAATGAACGCCATCTTAAATACTAACATATTCTATTTTTGTCTCTGTACACTTAATCTCATAATACAACTCAGGATGGATTAACTCCTGATTAGGTTTTTCCAATGATTAATTAATATTCTATACACATTATAAATTATTTTTAAAGTATATACCCAACAAAATTATACCTGCTTTAAAAATACTGCTTCTGAAATACCAAGAGGACAATAAACAAAACACACATCTATCAGAAGGTCTATTTTTGATAGTTTAAAAGAATAAAGAAAAATATAAAGGTATTTTATTTGAAATAATATTGAGCTATGCATCTCTATTTAAATCAAGAAATTAGGTTTAGAACCTTAGGTTTTTAAAATCCTGTCCCATTATTTTAATATCTTGGGCACTTTGTTCTTACATGCAAATGAAAGTCAAAGCTGGAAACTGCCTACAGGCAATCACTATGGATAGAAGTATACCATCAACAAAACAGTGAGCTACAGCCACTGAGCTACCTTCCCAGAGAACTGCTGTGCATTTGCAATTGACATAAGTATCTGTAATAGTTTAGCTTAAGTACAATAAAACCCCAAGACTTATTTAGCTATTACTTGATGTATTTTTCTCAAAAATTCATTTTCACTCACCTTTGTCCAAGGATGTGCCTTGATTTGAGGAAATTTAAATTCTGTATAATTTGGGTTCATTTCTCTAATTTGCTCCCTTGTTGGTGTTCCCAGGACCTACACAAAGAAAAAAAAAATACTGTCAATTTTTTCTATCTATCTATCTATCTATCTATCTATCTATCTATCTATCTATCCATCCATCCATCCAGATATATAGATTCTTTGTGTTACTAAAATAAAGAATTTCAAGCAGAAATAAAGAACTCACAGACTTTACGAAAGTTTTTTAGAAACTATGCTATACCACCATAGACTAATGTTTTATGATAAGAAGGATGTTAAAAATCTGAGTGATAAAAAGGTTCCTTGCTGGACGACATCTCACGGAACGGCATTCTACGCAAGAACCCTACAATGGCATCGACCACTAAGCACACCAAACACTCCCATTTGCACACACACATGCAAAGCATCCGGACATTAAATAAACACATAACTTGAAAATATTAAAGCAATCCCTGGGCTTCCTTTCCCACTATCCCAGCACTGGTGCTGGCTGTGGACTGTAGAAAAAGTAACATTCAAACTGGCCAGGCCTAACAATGCTATAGTCTGGCATCTGTGGCAAATTTCAAACAGGCCTTTCCCGAAAAAGCGAGACTCTAGGTTTGATTCATACACATATTAAAAATATATATATATAGTAAAAAACTCCAAACACATCATCATCATCAACAACAACAACAACAAACAAACAAAAAATTAAATAAAAATTAAGGGTAAAATCTGATTCCACCTATAAAAACAATCAATTCGCAATGGTCACATCTGAATAAGACTATCTTAATTCACAGAATAAGACCCAGAATCAGTCTATTCTGTTAAAAATGCCAACTAGGAAAAGCTGTGTCAGGACTTTCATCACTTCACTCAATCATTAATTATTTGGAGAATCACTACATAAAAGAAACTACATGAATATCTACAGAAGACATAAAGAAAAAGGGAGCTCATATAAGTCTTTAAACTATTCTTGTTTTTCTCCCCCCACCCCCCTTTTTTTTTCAAAACAGAGTTTCTCTGTGTAGCCTTGGCTGTCCTAGACTCACTTCGTAGACCACGCTGGCCTTGAACTCAAAGATCCACCTGTCTCTGCTTCCCAAGTGCTGGGATCACTTGGCTATCAAGCCCAACTTCTTTTTCCTTTCTTAAAGGCAGTTACACTATGTAGCCTTGCTGGCCTGGCCCTCGTTGTTATCTGCCTGCCCTGTCTCCTGAGTGCTGAGATTAAAAGCATATGGCACCAAGCCCAAGCTACATTCCTTAGTTTTTGACTGGTTTTACTTCTCTAGACACTGTTAAAACTTTCATAACCTTCATTGACTTTTTAAATAGATTTTTCTTCAAAAGATACTTTTAAGAAAATAGGTCAAAGACTGAGATAAATTATTGTAAAGCATACTCTTTAATATATCTAGATTATATTAGAACTCTAATGATTCAGAAAACACTGAAGAGATACCTGCTCACATGTCTATTCCTTTACAACAGCCAAAATACAGGGTCAATATATGTCTATACTGATGGGTGGATGCAGGAAAATGTGTTATAAATACACAATGGAGTACATTTTACCGTAAGACAAATAACTTGTCATTAGTGACAACATGAATGGAACTGGAGGACATCATATAAACTAAGTCACACAGAAAAACAAGCATCACACATTCTACTTATTTGTAGCCAAAACCTGACTTTTCGCCTACTCAGTTTTTACATTAAGTACAGAGCATATATTTGTAATATGTAAATTATATATAATTTATATATTGGAGAAAACCTACTCAACAGTAATGCGATGAAGTTCCTCAGTTAAACAGCTATTGATTGGAATGTAACTGCTGGTTTTTACCTTTAAAACATGGCACCTGTGACTTTCAAGAGCCTTTAATTACTAACTTGCAAACTGTCATAAAAAAAAAAAAATCCTATCATTAGTTCCAAAATCAATTAAGCATATAAAGAAATTCCTCAGCACACTTTATTTAAAGCCATTCAACCTTGAATTTACTAAGGCTACTCTCTATGGGAAGAAGACATACCAACATCACAAAATGTTCTGGATGTCATTTCTCTACTCTTTTGATTATTTTTTAAATCTTAAGAACAAACCAATTTCTAGGCTATTTTTTATGATTTTAATAACCACTTAAAATTTTAGGGCACAAATTTTTTATTAATGAGTATTTCTAGTCTGGGTGTGGCAATACATTCCTTTAAGCCCAGAACTTGGGAGGCAGAAGCAAGTGGAGCTCAAGGCTAGCCTGGTCTACACAGCAAGTTCTAGGCCAGCTGGACCTACATAGAGAAACTGTTTCCAGACTTGGTCATGAAGGGTTCCGGAAATTCACAGACCTTAGATAACTAGCTGAGAGATATACAGGTTAGTGAAGGTTTGTTTGTTTCCCAGAAGGGTGAGAGTGAACGGTGTAAGCATGAGAGCCATGCTTCCTGTTACTCTCAGCTCTCCTGCTGCTGCACAAAAGCATCCAGAAGCAAAGCTTATTCATAACACGGGTGCAGACTGTATTCAGGCCCAGGTCCTAGCTGGCTGACCACTCATCTGCTCCAAACATTTTTAGGCATGAAAAATGGAGGCCCAGAATGAGTATCTTTTCAGAGGTAAAAACTAGCTAAAGAAAGAGCTACGGCAGAAGTTGAGGCTTTCCAGAAGAACTCGGGGTTTAGGGGGGTGATTTCAAAGACTCTAGTTCTAAGGTTTAGAGGAAAGTAAACAATTTGGTTTCTAATTTCAGTGGTGATAAAAATGCTCAGGTCATTAAATCACAAAGGAGGGGACTTAGAAAACCACCTGGGAAGAGCTCACCACCAAGTGGTGGGTTGAGGTATACCATTTACAAGACAGCCTGAGGCTGGCACCAGGGTGACAGGAAGGACAGGAATACGGAACTGACGCAGACATTTACAAAAAGAGAAAGTGGAGCTGAGTAATAATTCAGTTGTTAAGGACCGTTCTGCAAGGCAAGCATGAACACCTGAACCTGATCTCTGAGGATGCACGTGAAAAAGTCAGGCCCGGGGGCATGCTGTTCTGGGAGGTGGAGATAGGCAGAACCGTGGGGGCACCCTGGCCAGTCAGCCTGGCCTACAAGGCAGGCTCCATCTCAGGGAGAGACCCTGCCTCAAACAAAAAAAGAAAGTGTATCTGACTGGCAACACACAAAGTTGTACTCTGGCCACCATAAAACACAGGTATATATACAAGTGCAAGCACATGCACAAATGAGAAATTGAAAGAAGACTGGCAAACTACCTTCCGCCATCAGAGAACTTTCTGATTGCAATAAACAATAGTAAATATTGAGACTCATGGATACCTAACACGCTGAGAAGTGACCAGCGAGTGTTGAGTGCTAACAAAGATATTTTTGCCATTCTCTCTAAGACTCCTGGAGAAAGAATGTAAGAACACAGGGGAAAGGGCCACAGAATGCTGTCATCTGGGTATAATATAGCCATTGCAATTGTGATGTCTCAGGAGCTGGCCATGTCAATAGTCAATCATGGATATGAAGGAGGGTGCCACCACTCTTGTTGGCTACTGGTAAGAATCTGAGGTGGGGGTAGGGCAGTCACAATCTATTCTTGCACTCTTCCTGGAGAGCCTAACAGGCTCCAATAGATACGTCCAAAACCACAGCCACTCAGTGGATCACAAAAGAAAGCAAAACAACATCAATGTGAGAAAAAGACTTGTAGGGAGGATTGATGTGGAGAGTAAGTAATCTGAATGCATTATACACTTGTACAAAATTGTAAAAAAAAGTTTTCAAATAAAAAAAATTAAGCATGTGTCAAAAAACACAACCAACCAACCAACCAACCAACCAACCAAACAAACAAACAAACAAACCAAACAGAAAAAGGCTGAGATAGGGGTCCAAGTGGTTGGAATAGGTCCCATGCAGAAAAGTATCATGGAAGTCAAGGAAGGTAGATGGGAAATAAGCCAAATTTGTCCATAATTCCTTAAAATGTTTTTCCTGAAGTAAGACAAAAAAGAAGGGAGAGTTCGTAAAAACTGTCAGTTTCAGGGTCAAGGATGAAGCCACAGTATACCTCTGGGCAGGGAGAGCCCTGGGTTTTGATTACCAGCACCAGAACATAAACTAAGAACAAAATACAATCCTCTTAAACTACATGCACTATATCACATAAAGAAAACTGAATTCTTTTGAGTTCTGTGAATACATTAATTTTATAAAGATTGATTTATTTAGTGTATATAAGTGCTCTATCTCTCTGTGTGTCTGCATGACAGAAGAGGCTATCACATCCCTATAGGTGTGAGCCACCATGTGGTTGCTGGGAATTGAATTCAGCAGACAGTGCTTTTAACCACTGAGCATCTCTCCAGCCCTGAACACATTATTTTTAACAGTAATAAAAACAACAAAAATAGTAAATTGTAAAAAACAAACCAACAGCTAAATAGACTTCTTGAAAACTTGAAAAAAGCTCATTTAAACAAAATTGACCTGTAGGATAGAAATTTAACTTGGTAAACATGTATCATGCATGAATTGTTAATAATATGTCTTCAGCAACAGAATATGAAATATCACCATCATCTATCTGGCTATCAAGATCAAAACTATACTTCATAAAAATGAAGTAATTAAGGAAATGATACAACATTTTTCAGTTTCCTGTAGCTATACAGACTTCTACTAGAAATATCTGGCTCATTCATGTGTAGGTGTGCATGTGAACAACACGATGTGTGACGGCACCATAAAAGGACATACTAAATATAACTTCTACCATCGAAAGTGCTTCTATAACCAAAAAGGATTAAAATGTAGAGTGTTTGCTGTCAACATTCCGAAATGGAGTTGTCACTGTAAAGCAGTCAAATGTAAGCAAAAGCTCTAAGTGTAATTTCTGTACAATTGCAGCTCAGGAAATAAGAAATGCTGGACAAGAACTTGTGTTATTGAAGGGGTGGTGGTTTGGGGTAGGCACTGTATCACAGAATTCTGCTGCCAGCCATTTTCAGAGTTTAACTGGCTTTCACGAATAAAGAAGTTAAA